AGATTTCTGAATCCATAAACCTATGCAGGCGATTATATGTTCTGATATCCTTTTATTTATGGGCCGATAAGTCTCCCCCCCTAAACACTACCACGTGAGCACAAAACTTTATTACAATCTGATCTGCAGATGGCATCGGAGGATTCTTTAAAATAAGGCATGATCGGGGAAAGCTTTATTGTTTCTTTATAAATTGTCTTGACACTGTATTTCCTCAATAAGGCGAATTTCGCCGACATCGTAGTCGGCAACGTCAGTGAGTCTTGACAGTCTTGTATAACACTATAACTCGTTAAAGAAACAAGTCGATCTCTTGACCATTTGTCTGCTAAACAAGTGTGTTACCTCTCCTTCTGCCATGGGCTAATCACCAATCCTATATCCTCACTATCAAATTTTTTTATTTAAACGTGGTATGGTGCGCGCTTTTGAGCGAATATCATGACAACTATCCCCACCAACACTGGCTTTCTTACCACCTCACCACCCTTCACCATTGGGCTGGGAATGTCGATCACAGCCTGCCATATTATTCCGTAATCCTCTTCCCATAGGTTATATCATAGTTTCCTTCTTTTCCCGTAGGATCCGCCTACCTTCCTGGTTCAGGCATTTCAATCGACTCCTGCCAACCTATCTACACTACTTGAAGCGTTATTTCCTACACTGTTTCAATCCTGTGATGGTGCACATACTCCCTTCTCACTGAGTTAGCCCCTAAAAATTAGGATTCTCAAACTGAATGAGAGACTTACATGAAGATAAAGAAAACGAGTAATCCTCAAAGTCAAGCCTTTGCTTCATGGGCAACATCTATGATGAAACACGTCTACTGTTAGCAAATTAGCTCTAGTCTCCGCAGCATCTATCGTGCTTCTATCCATAGTGCCAAGTCTATGGCTTCCAATGCCCTAGTCTCTTGTGTGATAACCCACAAATGTTGTGATTCTACTTGTTTTGATTAGAAGCGAAGACTTGACTTTGAGAATTACCCGGGATATTTAGCCTCGAGTTAGTACCCACAATCTTTAGAATCCTGATGTTTAGGGGCCTACTCAGCAAAGCGGGAGTATGCATGCGATCAAAGGCTTGTGGGAAATAAGGCTTGCGACAATGTGGGAAATAAGGCTTCGAGTAGTACAGATAGGTTGCTAGGATTAACAAAACGCACTGATAACGTTGGCGAAACGTATGGGAATGTACCACGCCCACGTCCCAACTGGAAATTATCATGTATACTATGGACTCAGGACTAGATGTGTTCCTATAGGTCTTCCTACCAATATGACCCAGTAGCGAAAACAAGATCAAAGAGCTTCTATACAATGAAAGGAGACTGCGACCATACAAAAGGTCACAGCATCTTGGTCTTCCAACCTTCTATTAAGCTTATGAATTAAGGTCTCGTTTCGCAAAAATAAATAAATTTTCTTGACCCTCAATCGAGTGCCCATAAATAAGTACAAGTCAGAATAGACAAATAAATAAAAATATTAAGAACATAGTGGCTGCATATAATAGTACTGATTTACATATTCGTATTTATGGGGATATAAATTAAAGTAAACACATGACGTGATAAACAGTCAACTAGTAAAGTATAAACATGCAATCTGCTAATATTTTAGCGTCGTTCAGAATGAAATATTCTTCATGTCTAATTTAAAAATAATATACATCATTATAAATATCTACACTGCTTTGAATGTTTTGCAATAGTCTAATGTTAGGAACTTCCCATTAGTAAAATAAATAACTGATCGTATATGCACTTAAAGCTGAAAAATTTGCCATTTGTATGGAGGCAAGATACAAAAGCAAATTAGGTAATACGATGGACAATGTAGATAGCATTGTCCATCCAAGGCTTAATAAGTGAGCCTCTCGCAATGGTATTAGGGAAATAGCTTAACGTTCTAAAGAACAAGCACAATTTTGTTTGTAGTCAACACAGTCTATAAAGATAATAAAGCGTTTCATTTAACGTTTAGAGAAAGATAATTAACTTGGTTATAAAAATAAGTGGCAACCAGTTTAAAAACAGTGACTAATCTGTTATAATATGAGCCAACTGTAAGCAATAGATCAAGTCTCTGACATAAGAGGAAACTATGAATCAAATTAGGTCGAAAGCTTGGCCTAGTCAATTGAAGAGTATTTGCATAGTATATATTATTCTTTTAACTCAAAGCATTCAACTCTCATCTAAATTCAGATTAGATCTGTTGAAAAAATATTTAAGCACAAAAAAACCAGTGTATATTCCTTTTTACCGTTTACAGAGATGTTTGGCTACGTCGGTGATTCTGAAGCCATCCAGGTTAAAGAGACGCTTGGCAAGCCGCTGCGCCGCATTACGATCTGCCGCTTTTGGGGGCTGATGATAGACAGATTCAGCCAGAGACTCGGCATCAGAAGAGTAGTAGCCGTCATGATCACAAGTATCGCCTTCGGCCCCACCATCAAAGTCACCGGAGCTGTTTATGTCGTCGCATACGACTTTATTCTCAACGAATTTTGAACCCACATTGTTGCAATAGGTTGAAGGGCAGGATGCTAGAGAGGCTGAATGTCGCCAAATGACATCTTCTTCGGCCTCATTTTGGCCTATTCCAATTGTTGGGTCTGGGGGCAATGCTCCTGACAGATTATCTAAGTGGCTGAAGTCGAATTTTTATAAACAAATTTTTTTCTAATGAATAGCTTTTCGATTCTACCAATATATATATATATATATATATATATATATTTATATTTATATTTATATA